CCGCCGCTCCTGGGCAGGGGGCAGCGATTGCTGCGGCTGGCTTGCAGGTGGGGCATTAAACCAGCGGGCACCGCTCCTGCAGAAACGCCTCGAGTGGGACAGGTGGAAAATACCAGGCGAGCCTGGATTTTTCTGGAAGATGGGAGAGTGACAAATCTTAGCCTTCCTATATCCTCCTTTAATTACTACTGCAATAAGAACGGTGGAGCTTGAACTCTCCTCCCTCCCCCCCACACTGCTCAGCAGATTTTTAAAAAGGCCCCTTCATCATCTGTAGCGCAGCCCTCGCATCCCTGCATCCTCTCCTGCTGAGAGGATCTCCTCTCATCTTCAGTAGCAGAAGAGCAACATTTCAAAAGGCTTTTCCATAATGACATTTAGAAGTAGTCTGTTTAACTTGGCTTCTAGGAAATTAATTGGCTCAATTTGAACAAACATTTAGCTTTTTCTATATACAACTTCATTGCTTTTAATTGTACATTTGTGTACTGCAAACAGTGAATGCAAGATAGGAAATAAAATCTCATACAGCGTTTCTGCTTTGATGTAGCTGGATATCCAGTCATTTGGAGTAAATCAGCCCTGTACCTGGTTTGGATTCCAGTAACATACCTTACCTTCCCCAGCTCCTGTCCCCCTGCTAAAGTCTATTCTGACTGCAGGGTGGCTCGGTGGCATCGTGAGCGTTTCTGGGGTGTTTAGTCCCTAAGGGGAGAACAGAACTCAACTGCTGTCTGCACAAAAATTGGCGGGACGCCAGTTGCTCACGTGTTGAGGGAAGATGAGGAGGCATTTGTTGTTCCCGGTGGGTTGCCCGCTCCTGTCAAGAATTCAGAGTAACAGGAAGGGCGTGCTTGGCACAGGGCAGCGCAGATGCAGGGCTGCATCTCCTCCTGCAGCCTTCAGAGCTGGGGCTTCTCTGTGGCCCTTTCACGCCGTTCACTTTCTCGTTCTTTGGAAAACAGAAACCTGAGTACCTGGGAATAGCAGGTACGACAGCAACAGCAAGTTGTCCAGTGACATTTGTGCTAAGTACTAAGTATGTAGTTACTAGTCTCAGCTGTCTAATACAAACAGCAGTTTAAATCCTGTTGATATGGGGGAAATAAAAATAAAAAAAGTTGTTCAAATGTCTATAAAGATTATTTTGTTATTTTGAATTCTGAAATATCAGGGCCCTTGGCTTCTACAGCAGCTTAGCCAAATGCTCTATGAAGTCTTTACCATCATTATGTATGGAGCTGTGGCTCAGTTTGCTATTTCTAAGCAGTGTAAAATTCTGTTGATTTTTTGTTTTGCCAGGTCTCAGCTCTAATAGATGTCAGCTCAAATAGATGATTTGTCATCTTCGCCTTAGAAAGAGGCTGGGGTCAAGAGGAGGTAGCTTTTCTGGTCCCTTTGAGCTGCTGGGGCATGCTGAAAGCATTCGCCAGGATCCAGCTCCCTCTTGCGGGGAGCGGCGTAGCAAGAACTTGCAAAGACAGACAAGTGCAGGGAGATGGATGCAGCATCCGCAGGGAGAGATCTGGTTCTGTGCCCTGGTTCTCTCTGTAGTTACTGTTCTGTTAATTCTGGTCCTTGCTCTAGGTTTTAAACTCTTCTTAAACAGAACAGCTTCATCTCTGCTCACTTATTGGCAAGTTCTGGGCTCTCAGTGTTTGTGCATTAAGCGTGATTCTAGCCCAGGGATGAAGGTAGGCCTAGTCTCTACAGCTGGGCTTGTCTCAAACTCTCCAGTTTCATGACAAGAAATAACCCTCCTTTAGAAAAAGATAAAATGCAAGCAGCAGGTTAACTAAAGCCCAGATCACCGAAGGATGCACCTGCTGTAACTATTCACCACTAACGGCCTGTCAAATTTGGTTCTGTTTGTTTAACTAAGAAGTGTGCTTTTGATGATCCAGTCTAGTATCTCAAAATAAAGCACCTTCTGTGGGGGTTGCTTTAGGTCGGAATGCAATTTTCATTCGGCTTGGTACAGCAGCCATCAAGTAAGATGCCCTGAAGAAAGTGAGTCCGATTTGATCCTGTATCTGATGTTTTTGTAAGTAAGTGGGAAACTAAAATTTGTCTCCGATCTACGGCTAGGTAAATTGTGTCCGAGGTGACTAGAACAGCGGTTGTGACTCCTGCTGCAGTAAGCTGAACTATCAGCTTAACTTTCCTGCTAAACTATAGAGGGAAGAAGATTGTGCTTTAAAGAGTGAAAGTAAACAACACTTTTCACAGCACTGGAAGTCTTGCTAGCATTTCAGACTAGGAGCCCAAATCAGTTGTATCAGTTTTAAATCCTACCAGTATAGGCAGAGAAGGTTGTGGAGCTTCCTTAGAGCACATAAGAGCACGGCTTCTCACAACTACAGCATAATAATTGTATTTCTTTTTGTAGAATCTGTGTCATCACCTTGGCAGAAGCCCATCCTCTTCTTCAAAATGGAAAAACAATTAAAAGCATTAATTACCAAATCAGTGCCAACTGTAGCAGACTCCAGAATAAGGTCTCTGGGAAGTCAAAAAGGGTATGGCTTTTTGATTTGGTTAGTTTTCATTTTACTCTCTCGCACTGCCTGAGACTGTCTGTCCTTTCTAGGATAGAAACTTACCAAGTTACCTTTGCATTTTATTTTAAAACAGCCCCTCCACAGTTGAAGAAGTCAGACTTCCTCAAGAGGCACCTGACTGTCCCAGCCAGGGTCTTACAGTGCTCCTACAGCACCGGTGGTTTCCAGTGTTGCTCAAACCAAGGCTAACAGTCGCTTTTAGTCATTTTTTTCATAGTGTACAGAAGGATTTAAACATCCCTGAAAAGATAAAAGTTTGTTTCCACCAAAATGCTGAGGATTTGGAGGCTACTGTTTTCCTCAAACAGACCTAGATGGCAGATGGGCTAGTTCAGTGTTTGATGGTGGGTTTTCAAATATGTATAGTTTAACCTGGTTATGCTGGAATCAACGGTGCTGTTTTTCTCCTCTCCCCCCCAGTTTTAATCGGATCAAACTACAAGTCTGTTATTCCGCAACAAACGTATTATGACTAAATTTGTGAGCTCTTAACAGGCTTCTGTTCGATTTGTGCACCGTCTTCCCTTCTGTAGGGAAGCACAGCTACGTAACTTGGAATGACCTGTAACTATCACACTTCCTTGCTTTGTTCTGAGAAGCTTACAAACTTACGTTGCTGATGGTAATACTTTAAAAAGCCCTGTGTAATTAAAAGTATATATATGTTTGTTTATTTTTCAAATGCAGGGAGCTCAGTTTTTAACAGAACTGGCCCCTCTGTGCAGGATATCTTCATCAGATGGAGAGGAATACACCATTTATAGGTAAGGTTTTTCCCTTTTTCTTCTTCCCTTGACATACCATGCACTTCTACTGAATCTAAACGCTTTTGCAGTTGTATACGAGGGCGACTGATAGAAGTGAATGAAAACATTCTTAGCAATCCTGCTATTCTGCAAGAAAAGGTAAGACACTTTCTTGCTTTTTTATTTTCTGACTTTTATTTCACTGCTAACTTCAGTCTTGCTTTTTAGCCATCAACCGAGGGATACATTGCAGTGGTTCTACCCAAATTTGAAGAAAGCAAGAGTATAACTCAAGGACTTCTGACGCAGAAGGAGTACGAGGAAGTTTTGTTGAAACGTCTTAATTCTTCTTCATGAAATGAATTATACAGTTATTGTCTGTATTTGATACTAAATAAGCTACTTTTATTGTACGCTGTAACTTTCATGGTATTGAAAGGCCTAGCGCCTGTTTTTAAAAGTGGAACTTAAGATGCTTGACTCATACAAGAATAAACCAGTTCAAATAGTTTGTATATTAAAATTTGCTTTCTCTTTTTCTCTGAATTCTAGCACTACAAGTTTTTAAATAAGAACAGAATGGTATGTTGGAGAGTATTTATGTTCCACAGGCAGCTTTGCTTCTGCTCAGTGCAAGCATAATACATACAGAAAAATCGTATGATTTAGCGGTCACTTAATTTAGCTAAAGTAATACAATATGGAGTTTGACAAAGGTGAATTGAAAATAAAAATATAACAGAAGCCTATGTACAAAGAGCAGATAAACTGGAAAATATGTCTTTCACAGCAGGTTGTATTTTCACGGCATCCTAAAGTCAAATAATGCCCTTTGTACAGAAATTTGTTATAATCAGTATCTGTTTTCTTAAATTTTAAATGGTATAATGTAAAGTCTACGTAATACTTCAGTGGTTCTACATGCAATTCAAATTCAGCTCAGTAAGTTTTAATAAAAAAGGAAGCAACAACTGCCATCTACAAATAAAGATGGTAAAAGAAAAAGGGTTTGAGTCAGTATTAATCACTTAGAAATACGCTTTTGGAAATATGAATCATGTCAACAAGATTAAAATTCAGTGGTGCAGCTAATGAAAGAGGGTTTTTTTCCTAGAACTACTTCATTGCAGGTATAACTCATGACTAAGATAACATTTCAGTGCTTTAGGCCACAGCCTTTCAGACTATTTTCCTGATTCTGCTTTATCAAATACATAGACTGAAACAGGCCAGAGATGAGTTTACAGACTTCAACAGTAGTGTTACATATAGCATATGCAGCACAAGGCTCTTTATATAAAATGTCTATTAGCAGCATCTTTGGGTTGAAACATCCATTAAGACATTCGTAAGCATTAATTACAAAACCGGTATCAATAGTGAGCATAGGAAAGGCATTCACATTATAAAAATACGTAACAATTAGACTAGTTGGTGTTGTAATTGCTAAGTAATGGGACATCTATTAGATGTGACAAAGGTCAACAGTTTTAATTCAAATTAACCTGGTTTGACTTTCCACAAATGAAAGCAATACTGAAAATTCAGCAAGCGTTATTTTCAAATGGGAGTTCCTGCATTTCTAAGTGCTATAATTACTTGCTCTCTAAAAACGTCATGTTTGTTACATGATTTTCTAAAGCCTTGATGCCAAACGTCTCAGCTCTCCTTTCTGGAGTATGTGCGTTTGTACCGGTTCGTATTCTGTCTTCTCTCCATGGTGGAGCAGGTTTAAGACAGCCATTTCCTGCTTTATTCTGTATATATAAAAAAGATTTCTTAAAAACAAACAAACAAACAAACAAAACCCCAACCAACCAAAAATTGTATTTTCACGGCATCCTAAAGTCAAATAATGCCCTTTGTACAGAAATTTGTTATAATCAGTATCTGTTTTCTTAAATTTTAAATGGTATAATGTAAAGTCTACGTAATACTTCAGTGGTTCTACATGCAATTCAAATTCAGCTCAGTAAGTTTTAATAAAAAAGGAAGCAACAACTGCCATCTACAAATAAAGATGGTAAAAGAAAAAGGGTTTGAGTCAGTATTAATCACTTAGAAATACGCTTTTGGAAATATGAATCATGTCAACAAGATTAAAATTCAGTGGTGCAGCTAATGAAAGAGGGTTTTTTTCCTAGAACTACTTCATTGCAGGTATAACTCATGACTAAGATAACATTTCAGTGCTTTAGGCCACAGCCTTTCAGACTATTTTCCTGATTCTGCTTTATCAAATACATAGACTGAAACAGGCCAGAGATGAGTTTACAGACTTCAACAGTAGTGTTACATATAGCATATGCAGCACAAGGCTCTTTATATAAAATGTCTATTAGCAGCATCTTTGGGTTGAAACATCCATTAAGACATTCGTAAGCATTAATTACAAAACCGGTATCAATAGTGAGCATAGGAAAGGCATTCACATTATAAAAATACGTAACAATTAGACTAGTTGGTGTTGTAATTGCTAAGTAATGGGACATCTATTAGATGTGACAAAGGTCAACAGTTTTAATTCAAATTAACCTGGTTTGACTTTCCACAAATGAAAGCAATACTGAAAATTCAGCAAGCGTTATTTTCAAATGGGAGTTCCTGCATTTCTAAGTGCTATAATTACTTGCTCTCTAAAAACGTCATGTTTGTTACATGATTTTCTAAAGCCTTGATGCCAAACGTCTCAGCTCTCCTTTCTGGAGTATGTGCGTTTGTACCGGTTCGTATTCTGTCTTCTCTCCATGGTGGAGCAGGTTTAAGACAGCCATTTCCTGCTTTATTCTGTATATATAAAAAAGATTTCTTAAAAACAAACAAAAAAAACCCCAACCAACCAAAAAAAAAAACCAAAAGCTTTAAAATACTGCAGATGAACCAAGTACTCACCTTTCTCAGTAATTTGCAGCAAAGTGGAAGAAGCTGGCATAACAGAGTCATCACGTTCCTTGTTTTCAGAATGCATGCATCAACCTGAACAAGACAATTAAGAGTAGAGCAAGACCACTCGTTACTTTTATTAGACAATTGTTTAATGCATGAGATAACCTATTTCAAGCTTGAATAGGTAATATTTGTCCTTCATAAATCCCTTCTAATCAAAAGGTTTTGCCTACCTTTTTTGAATTTCTCTATATAGTACGCGTAAAGCAACGGCAGCATCCCTTCTGTTAACCCGACTTGAGCTAGGAAGCAGAAGGGAATGACACACATCCCAGGAGAAGGAACTAATAATAATACAACATTAGACAATAATATAAGTCTCTTGGAAAGGAGCTCTTACCATCCAAGTATGATTCACCACAGTTGTTCATGTTTTTCCTTTTGTTTTATGTCCTGTCAGCATGATTTAGAGAGCCATGCATCATGTAAGCCTTACCTTGATATGAGTTACACTAAAAGTTAGCTAAATCTTAAAGCATTTGAGTTTATGCCTCAAGTCTAACACTCAGCACAGGTCACAAGTCTGGGCCCTCGACAGACGTTAATTTGATAGCCTATTATCGCTATGTAGCACTACATCGCTCTGTATAAACAGACTGGAGTTCCCATTTAGTTTCGCTAGAGAGTAAAACAAACCAAGCAGTAGCCCTGAGGTGCTCGGTTTGTTTTGAGTGACTTGGATGCTCTAGCCAGTTTCAGTCCCTGCTGTAAAATTGAAACATCTTTTCCATAGCTCATTGGAAACAAACATCCAGGCGCACAGAAATGGTCTTGCTCACATTGATCATATTGCTGCTCAGGGATACTTGAAGTTCTTCAAAAAGCCTGACCTCTGTTCCCTGCTAAGGCTTGCAGATCTACTTCTCGTGGTAACAATGCTGGAACTTCTATGGCAGCTGTATACGTATTTACTTATAATAAATATGAATAATATCAGAATAAACTCTGGGCAGTCTAGGGTAGACTACCTACCTACCGAGAAGCAAGCATGTATTTCAGTAATAGAGTCTTTGGGGTTTGGAACTTACTAACATTTATGTTAAACATCAGTAACAACAGAATAACAGTAATTATTACAGTGGTGGAAATAGAAATTACTTTCATTAATACTTTGATCACTGAAGTCCTTTCTTAGTGAGGTACGCTTAATCACAGTTCATATTTCTCTGAATGTACTGGATTACAGTATTATTACTGTAATCTAGTGGATTACAGTATTATTATATACAGTATTACTCCATCTTGTATTATTCAGCTGAAAGTTCTCAGTTGCAGCATGATAAAATTCCAGTACCTCTCTTTATCTAGTGGGTAAGCTGAGGGAGATGTTGATAGAAGTTCTTTGAAAAAAGTTTTTGGCAGTAAAAAGCAATATAAAGCAGTGGAAGCCTATGGATGCCTTTCCACCTTTTTTTTTTTTTTTTTTTTCCTTTCAAGAGCAGCAGTCCAGGACCATCATTGTCTTGGGAAACATTTCTGTAAAATCTTTCACTAACAGTGAAATCCAAAACCCAAATGATAATTTCAGTAATTTTAGTAACAGGAAGGAAAAAAATCCTATTACTTATTTTACTGATTCTTAGACTCTGAAGTTGATAAAACAGGGAAACTGTTCCTTAAAACATTAATATCAATGATATGTCTGTGGCCACTGGGCCAGTTACACAAAACTTAGAAATCCATGCTCCCTAAAGAAAACAGTCATATAAGCCTGTAGAGTCATACTATCCAAGCTATCCACTGGCAGGCTTCTGTGTATGCTGGGTGCCAGTGTACCATATTTTGCCTCCTATCAAACTCTCAGCATGAATGAGGGGGTCAGGTCAGGATAAACCTCACTGAAGCCCTTCTCTGGTAGTGGGGAAAAAAAAATTTGAAAAATGTAAAAAAAAAAAAGCCTAAAAAAATCCCCACAAACCTAGAAAACATGCTAGAAAATCCCTTCCTGAGACAAGATAGTGTGGTAAATGGCTTCAATTACAGGTATCAGCGAGGGATGTCCCAATAGAGAAAACATTTTCAGCAAGGGGAACAGTTCTTACTGTTCTCCTCTATACTTCACAGATCAGCTTCTCAAAACATGTTAAGTGCAAAACAGTACGTCAAGTTGAAGTAAATTCCTCTTCTACATAAGGAACACCAACGATGACTTATTGAATAGCAGAAAAATGCTTGCACAACAGCATGAAATTTTGTACTTAATTTTTACGGTCCTCTGTCAACCCAGGAAGTTCAGCTGTCATGAGCTGTTTCATATTTTAATGGGAGCATAAATTAGTAAGTTACTATATTTCAAAACAAGTTAGGTCTTACTTTCAGGAATATATGTAATTTTTACCTTACCTTTGTAAATGTAGCACTTTTACCCTGAACAGAAGCTTTAGCTGTTATCTGGAGCTGCTTGCACATAGAGATCAGTTTTTCAGCCTCCAACAGAAGCAAAGGTTTGTCATCATCGTGTACCTGAAATGTGTTTCAGGAAGACAAAACCACTCTGTGTTAAAGACTCCGATATTAAGTTAATGGAGAGGACAGCACAACCAGCTTTTAAGCAGCATCGCTAGTCTCATAAGCCGAATGGCTGTTTTAGAGGTCATACATCACCTGATCAGAAAAGGCATGAAGAGCTGAAGCAAGCTTTGTGCCCTCTGTAGCAAAAATCTGAAAGGGGGAGAAAGCAAGTAGCAAAATGAACCACAAAGAAAGATGAGGCTCTTTTTCCTTGTTGTTTTAATAAATAGCGTGCTATAAAGTAAAAAGGTAGCAGGAAATATTTGTGATAGTTGTATACGTTTATAATTAACAAGTCAGCAGTTTGCAGTGACTTCTGAAATAACAAGCTACACTACAAATTGCCATTCTCCCAGACAAGCAAAGTTTAAAGGCTTTCCTTTTACATTTAAACAAACCTGATTTCTAATTATTTTTTGCACTGTAGCAGCTCACAAGAGTTTTGTGGGTAGATGACACCTGCCACGTTTGTTTATTGTCCTGACAAAGGTAGCCAGTCTCCTGTTAAACACAGGCATGTATCTTGGAAATAGCACGCCACATTCCTTCATTTGGCCCCTTATCTTTTGTTTGTATTATTCAAATTTTTACGTCTTTCTTTCCCATGAAAATACTACTGCTCAGACTAGGACAGAGTATCCATTATCAGGATAATGGATACACTATCAGGGACTGAGCCTAAGTGACACAATGAATACTACTAATGCATTGAAGTCCGCTATATTTGCCATAATGCCAGTTTGCTATTCCTACTCCTAACTGGAATCTGTCAGTTTAATGAATGCTGTCTTAAGCTACTACTGGAACACCGAAAAGTTAGCTTTCAGAAAGTACGTACCAGTTAGGCTGCTTAAAATCTACAGTTGCCAGTCAATTCATGGTACACTGTACTTATGTGTAAGGAATTAAGAGTGTTAAGTTCCAATTTGTTCTTCACTCAGAGTGCCTAAGTCCTATTTTGTTAAAAATATATTACCTCTGCTTGATGAAATAAATCTTGAGTAGTTTTCAGAAGTCCTTCTCCTCTGTCGGAAATAATGAAAGCAGAATATATGCCATGTAGACTGCAGATTATTTTGCCTGCTACTTGTACAATTTATAGTATCTCTCTCCCTTTCTCACCCCCATTCACATCACTGAACTGTAAAATATCACTCTTTTAGAAGATACTACACACAGCAATAACTTACTACAGGAACTGCATTTGAAAATATTATATAAACACCTCAGTGGCTGGAGCACTATTGGGAAATTAGCAACGGTTCAGTTCTCATCAGCTGAACAAGGACAAAAA